ATTGTACGTCGTCAGCGATTAGGTTCGGTGCTTAATGATTCGGAGTTTCTCAAGGGCGCACTCTAGTTCTGGTACTGTTTTGTATACATTTATTAGGTAAATGAATTGCATTTGGGTATCATTCTTGATAAATACAAACACGAAGTAATATTATAACCTAAATGTTTAGCTACGGAAAAATGCCAAGGTTAAAACTACTATTAGTGTTGCTGATTAAATATTTAAGTGATTCAATAATCCATATATATTTAAACCTGATATTACTTGTAATATTAATATCGACGTATCTATACTTTGTTGTAAGTTTTTGTCTTTGGTAAAACTTTGGATGGTAATTAAATATGTGGTGGTATCGAGATACATTAACGTCCCTTTGAAGTTATGTAGGTGTCCAGAAGCTTGCTTATTGTTTTTTTTAAACAAAACAGCGTTGGTGCTTGCTGCTATTAGTAGTGTACCAAACCCGCAAACAAACATTCGATAAGCCTCGTGTTATCATTAATACGAAAGCCACGGTTAGGCTGCTACCGTTAACGAGACAAACAAATTTACAATTTTTATCGTTCCTCATGTTTACACGTTAATTAAAGCACTTATCGTACGAGGGATAACAAGAGTTTAAGGTAAAGCAAGGTTACGCGCAATCTGCAACCTGTAAACGACCGTTTAAAGGCTACGCCTCTATTTGTTTAACTGGGAGCAGGAGCGGATTTACGTCCCCGGCGAGGCCGGGAAGCTGCTGGGTGCGGAGTCGTGGTAGAATCTCTAAACGGGGACCCCGCGTCTTCGCATTAAGCAGTGTAGAAGGTATTCGCAGGACTTTTTAGCGGATATTATGCCGTAAAGCGCCCGTAAGAGTTGCGGGGTCCTCGGAGGGCAGCCACTGGGGGGTTCGTAAGACTAGCGGGAGCCAGGTGTGAGGTTCGTTCGGCGGTGTGCCTCTTAAAGGCGCCGTCGTCTGTAAACAGCATTTTTAACCTGCGTTTTAAAAAAAAAGGAGCGGATTTACTTAGGGACTTGGGGGGGGGGGGGCTAGAGAAGGGTCATGGCCTTATCTCCCTATTCCATCTATAGGGAAGGCCTGTGCTCCAGCAGTGGGGCAATAATAGGCTGATGATGATGATGATATTATGCATAAAAAAACGGAATTTAAATGGGAAATGGGCCCTGCATCAATTTCAGCCCCGGGCCCTACCATTCTTAAATCTGCTCCTGACTGGGTAGGTAGCCATCGGTTAGCAGTGTGGCTCTAGACGGAAAGGAGAATTCCCCTGAGAGAAGATGCTATCCGCTAAAATTCAAAATTCAATATCGTTTATTCAGTCAAGGCTGTTACAAGCACTTGTGAATGTCGAAAAGCTACGCTTTCGGTTCGCAAATCTACGGCGGGAGACCTTGTACTGAGAAGAACCGGCAAGAAACTCAGCAAGGCCTGTTTTTTTCTCCCTGTATTATATACAGAGTCGTCAAATTGAAAAATGACTTCAATATGAGGTAACTCATAAAGTCACTTTCCACTCGTTCTTGATTACAAAGTATTGTACGTTATTTCCGGTAATTGTACTCTATACTTTATGCCAACGATAAAGTATGCGTGATTTGATTTCTAAAGGTTTCATTTTACATAAAATATGCAAAAAAAAAGATTGATACTGATAGTAAGAATTATTGAGTAAAACGGAACGATAGTTGGTAGATGTCGCTCTAAGCTCATTCCTGATCGCCTAACCGCAAATGTCAACGTGGTTGGCTTTATACCATGGACTTTCCCTTTGCCGATAAGAAACGACAGATTTATAGTAGCATTATTTGTTAAAAGTTGCTAAAAGTAACGAAAAATATATATTTACAAACTAATAAAGTGGAATTAAAAGTAATTTATTTTGGATATAATGTACTTTCTTTTCTACCTTTAATATCCAATTTACTTTATTTTGACATATAAAAGGTGACAACCCTATCAGCGACATACAGCTACAGCATACATATTTAAGAGAGAAAGGGACATATTAATATCTCATCTTACGAGAGTAATTACAACAGAACTAATTACTATATACTAACACTGTCAAAGGCTTCCCGTTCTCACGCAACAAAGACAGGTAAAAGTGCTTATAAAATAGGTAACCAAAATTCTAATTTTTAACCGTCATTCCCTTACGTGTAATGGCTTATCACTTGACATTGGCGGAGCTGTGCTAAGTCACAACGCAAGCCATCAAAAGAAGAAGAAGAAGAAGGGTTGGCAGGGTGGATTCAACGATGCCCAATTTAAGCTTTGATAATGATTATTTTAATGGAAATGAATCCAAGATATTAATGAATATGATATATTATAAATTTAATGGACATTGTAATTTAATTACTCAAAATATAGTGATACAATACAATTAGTCTTCAAAACAACAAAGAATTAATAAAAAAATATATTGCTGAAATTATCTGGACCTTTTTTTACATAAAATTAAAAGACAACACTACATTGCACTAATCTTATAAGGAAGCCGGTTATCAAAATCATAACACTAAATTACTATCTACAAACGGACAGACCAGAGACACAAAAGAAAAAACTTTTTCTTTATTGATTGCATCAATTGTCGAATTTGATACTTCACAGAGAATTGACACGATTCCAAGAAAATCCGGTGGTTCATCTCTAAACACCATTATTTTCAATTAAATTCATTTATTTCAGCCATTTAGCCATATAAATTACACCAAAAAAAAGAATAATAATAATAAAAGCATACAAATTACGATCAAAAATAAATACAAAATTAGAAATGTCAACAACAAAATAATTTAAATAAATACAAAATCACAATGTCAACAATACTTGAATTATAAGTTAACTATTCTCCGCAATCTTTAACCAAATATATAATGATGCTGCACTGAACCAGTCGCTTTTGTGTTTAAAATATCGTCAATGTAAAAGGCAACGCACTCATAAACTTTACGAATTGCGGGAGAAATAATCAGCCGATGATTAACTACTGTCTGACGCAAACATTCAGAGGCAATTACTTCGAACTGGCTTGAAATCGGTTTGATTGTAGAAATTTAGGAAACTTTCATGAACAGAAAAAACACAGAGACCCATCAACCAATGCGTGAATTTAGTCCAGTGGTGAAGATAGCTGATACGATAGACAACTACATGCGGACAAATCCAAGAACCAGGCAAAAAAATATATCGTGTAAAATCAAATCAATCAAAGATTAAAGTTTAGAAATAAGCTGCCTCGTTAGGAGGTTGCGGAGAGGGGGGGGGGGGCTCCTATCCAACCCCCGTCTGGCGAAGATTCGTAGTTTTTTCAGGAAAAAAAAAATTGTAAACATAACCTCAAAATAAAGTATGCATAAAAAGCAAGAGAGAGATGACTTGTTAGGTTAAGGCTTATGGGAAAAACGGTAGTGGAGAATGCATTAACCCCGCAAAAGCTTTTTTTTGAATAAAAATAGTCTCTTTTGAAAAAAAAAACGCAGAACGAGGAAGCTTATTTCTAAACCCAACCCCGACACAAATCAAAGACTGGGAAAAAAACCTGTCTTTGTATGTTTGTATGTTATGTTTCTTACTGGTCCTTCTCGGCAAGTTATTTCAGAGGTTTCAGGGCTTACATTTACGAATCGATGACATAAACTTTTATGGTTGCTTGTTCAGCTCCAACCCTGAACTGAATTTAAACGAATAAGAAATCATATCCTCCTTATTAACTTTATAATTAAAAAATATGAAAGTTTGTAGGTAACTCCATAACGGAAAAACGACTGATAGGGAGTTGGATGAATTTCTGCACACATACATATAGGTTATTACCTGGATAGACCTTATAATCCCAGAAAAAAATTAGGTTCCTGCGGGATTCCCAAAAAAACTAATTAAATCGCGTTCGTAATCGCAGACGGGAAGCCAATTTGATATAATTAAAACCAATGTGTTCTTAAAAGGGAAAAACGAAACTATTAACGTACAGAATAATTAAATTAATACTGTCAACATTATCAATTAAATTATACCAGATGCTCCTGTGTTTGACACTAATGGTGCAAAGCAATCTTTTTAATATAATAATAGATAAGTAATCGAATCAAACAACTTTGTTGCAAAACACGAAACGGTCATTAGGTACCTACAACAATCCAAGCGGATAACAAATAGGAAATGAGCCATTTAGTAAAATTAAATGAGGATTTGATTAGCAAACAAAGACCGGCTATCATCAAATTAATACACTCTAATATTTGATTCAATATGAAAGAAAGAAAAAGCTTTTATTGACCTCACACAAGTATGTAAAATAAAAAACAATAAACATAGCAACAAAACTAAAATAACAACAGTGAGCAACCATTTGAAGAAAGAAAAGGCCAATCAGGACCCTGCCTCAGCTTAATGCTGTTATAGTAGGACTGGAATAATCCCACCATGACAGCGCTGGTATTCTGGCAGGGCCTGGTAGTTGGTTGGTGGAAGTAAACGATAATTTTTATAACACTCAATTGTTAAAGAAATTTAACAAACGAAGGTATATAGAAATATTTTAATGCTTTTATAATTAGAAAGTAACACAGTTTAGTAAACAAGTTTAATACTTAAGGTGACAGGTTTATTATTACATTAATACGTAAAAAATCTGATCTGTTAAAATTTCGCATTGGTAACATAAACTGATTCTATGAAGATGGATGTAGAAAATATAAGCAATTAAAGCTTAATGTTCCATAAATCTTGAGAAAGTAGATAACATCTAAACTTTCTAGATGTAAACCAATCAGATAAGTCCTTTGACGCATCTCTAGTGCTACAGGTGCAAACATATGAGTCACTTAGTGCAGAAACATTCACTGATTGATGATTGCAATGCCAATAACAACTTCACATTGACATAAATACCTACACTAAAGATGCACAAGCGTTTTAGATCTTAATCTAATTATAACTAACTTTCACTACATATAAATATAAACAAAAGGAATAAATAAATAAATACCTAAATCATCCACAGCTACACTCTTCGATTCAGTCATTGTAATCACTTCACGGATCACAAAAAGTTCAGAAAAAAGTGTGAAACGTCCAATAACTGCGTATAAAAAGGTAATCGCGCTACGATTATGCCTATTGCGAGTTCAAATACGGAGATTACTCGCTCGCGCGTCCTTGCGCGGCGAGCGTCAATGCACGACTGAGCGTGGAGTTCAAATTTAGAACGATCGTAAACAAAGCATGGCGCGGTTCACGTAGGAGTTGATGCGTTGGCGCACGTATGTACACGTACGTACAGTCTACAACAAGTCGGGGAAATAAAATGGGTAAATCGATTGTGAATATAATGTCAAGCCGGATAAAGTTAGATATCAGTTTGGAAATTTTAGTGAGTTGCCGACTGTACATTCGTATCGACTGATTTTATTATTGGTGAGCGAGTAAAGTGGATCTGAAGATGTGTGCGTGGATCTGGTTAATGTCTAATACTATTAGAAGTGAACGCTCTTATGAATTGCTAATAACAAGCAAGAAGTCCACATGCCACACTTTAATTTAATACAAATCTTTGGTTCGTAGATGAAGAATAACCAGATCATTCAATAGATGAATCATCAGTTTTAATACTTCAGATCGCACTAACAACTCTTCAAGAATTGTTTAGTCCTAAATTGATAAAAGGTATTTAAAGTATGCTCCTGGGGTCTTAATTTCAAAGTAGTTGAGTATTCATTTCACGAAAATGTATCACAACGAGCTTAAACAACTCGGACATTGAGAACTGTTATGAATTATTAAAATAACCCTAAATCAAGTTCTGGTGAGATAGTAACATCAATTTAAATGTCATCAAAATCACAACGCTACGAAATTACGTATATTAATTTATTTTTCAAGTAACGACAATTTTAATAGCGAGATTATGTGATGTGACGGAGTTACTATATCCAAAGAATGTATATGGTTTCCTGTAGCAAATCTCATACCTTTAATCCGAGGTGCGATGTTGTAGCTTTTTACACATTGCCCTACAAAATTCATTCAGAGAAATTAATATTATGTAACCTTTACCCCACCAGACTTGAGAATCATTTGTCTGAGCGTTAAATTTATGTTAATAGTATGTTTCGTGTTGGAGAACGGTCAATATACTCTGCCATCAAATCATGCAAAAAGAAAGCAAGTCTTTCCAACATTCACACATATCTACACAGAGCATCATCAATATATGTGTAAGTCAACATGACCATGAGTAGGACACACTGAAAAACATTAACTTTTGCGCAGCATAAAAAAGAAATTCACACGCATCATCGAACGTTGATCTTGAAAACAAGATAATGAACCAGTAAGGATACGTCACAAGTTGAACGAATGATAACATACATAATGACGATTATATTGACAATAGGACAGGTGTAAGAGCATTATCGCAGAAATATCTATTGGAGTATAAGTACGTCGTACAAAGAGATTTCGGAACTACAAGAAAGTTTGTGGAATGAAATTAATAGATGATAAAGTGATATAGATCATGTTAATATTATGTTTAAGTAGCTATGCCTAAATCTTGATGAAATTATATTGGCAATTAGCGAATTTTAATAGGTGTTTGAGAAGGGCAGTACCGTCAAGGTGTTTGGTAATTCAGTTGGAAGAGAAACAGATTGAAATAAAATTTGGGTAGCCCAAAAGTAAAACAATTAGCGTAGCCCCAAAGTAAGCGCTGTAAGGCTTGTGTTATGGGATGCTAGGGTAACGGATAGAATACAATCATATACTGTACATATATAAGTATATTTATATAGAAATACATATTAAACATCCTTGACTGGAGTACAAATGCTCGTACTCATCACACAAACATCTGCCCCCACCGGGATTTGAACTCGGGGCCTCTCGAGTCGGCGACACTATGAAACCCGGTGTACAAACCACTCGGCCACGGAGGTCGTCAAATACCTAGGAAAAAATCTTTCAAGTCCGCTATAAGATGTTAATTAATTGTAAAATTTGTCAAGTGATGAGTATGAGCGCCATTGTGTGGAGATATGTTGATAGTTCTCAAATAGTAATCAAAATCTAAGCAAGGATTGGAAAAGAAATCGTTCGAATTTTGTATTGAAAATCGTGCCCACCGTAGTTTTATGTAAATGCACAACCGTGGCATCGGTGAGTCACATTCACAGACTTGTGGAAGTTCCAAAAATACATTGGTATGCATCGCGTGCGCATTTTAAAGATTAATATGAGTTGAAAGATATATTTATCCTGACTGAATATATTTATTATATATAAGCAAACAATTGTTTAGTTAGAAGAAAGCAATGGGTTTATGATCCTGTCCTGAACTCCTGGCTCACAGAATATAGTGATTTTACCCAGTAGAAATCCATTTTGCAACTGTTAGCCTACATGAAACATTCTCAAAAAGCTGGACTGGGATCTTAACCAAGTTTAAAAGGACAATGCCCATTTTTCTTAGGAGATCCGTACCATCCGTCCGGAGATGGTAAGATAAAATAAAATTATATAAAAGAATTACATTATTTTTTTTGCTACTTTAAAATCTTATTTACTTATACAACGGCTAAAGCTAATAAGGCGAACAAAGATTTTTATGTTCATTGTTAAACCTCAGAAATAACAGACAACAGTTATCGGAACGTGCAAGATTTCGGAAATGAACTTTTATATAAGTAGGGATATGTAATTTTTTGCGGAAGTAGGTAATTGCTAATTATTAAGCATCATTTATCTGTTTTTTTTAAATGTGGTTAAAAAAACGGTTAGATGTTACTACATAATACATATAAATAAAACATTCTTTTTGGTGTTAATATATCTATGACGCAATATGGTACGGGGTATGGGCATTGTCCTTTGAAGTATTTTTTAGCCATGAATATAGAATGGTTGGGGTCTCGGAGAATATGATGTTTGACTAACATTATCTAACCACATATATTTTACATAGCACCTGAGATATCTACCTTTTTACCTCTTAGGAAAAATTGTTTTATTTGAGGCCGCTTCCTTTTATTATTTCTTAGCTTTCCCTCAAGCGAGATATGGTCTAATATAATTATGCGAGTCAGTCTACATATTTTACATAAAATTGCTAATTCTTCCATTCGCGAAGAGCATGCAACCGAGTTTTGATTAGGTTTTCACCATCATTTAGATCAGCGATTCCCTAAGTAAAATTCAAAATTCAATATCGTTTATTCAGTCTAGGCTGTTACAAGCACTTGTGAATGTCGAAAAGCTACGCCATCGGTTCGCAAATCTACGGCGGGAGACCTTGTACTGAGAAGAACCGGCAAGAAACTCAGCAAGGGCTGTATTGTATACAGAGTCGTCAAATTGAAAAATGACTTCAATATGAGGTAACTCATAAAGTTACTTTCCATTACAAATGCAAATATAATAAAAATTATGACTATATAAAAAACTGGTATAACAAAGTTTAGGAATGCCGTGTCCTGCTGTTTAGGCAAAAAAAAAATGAACGATTAAAGTTTAGTACAACGGTTAATAGTATCCAATGAAGCAAGAGCAGACTCATCTCCGCTGGCAGCACCCGTTCACGAGCATGACGCATGAACCAGCCATCGCTTCGCTCAACCATTTTTTAGGGAACGCAACGACCCGCCTCACACGACACCACCGAAGAGATTTTTAAGAGAGCATGACTACTCATAACCACACATGGATACTATGTTACAAAGATAGAAAAAAAAATATAAGTACCAGAGTACATTATTATAACAAATTATAAACATAACGGCAGGACACATGCATGTGATTACCCAAACACTGTTGTCGATTCTGGCACTACTCTCCCAACCCAAAATCAAATCCAACATCAGTCCCCCCTTTTCAGTCTGTATAAAGAATGACAAGGATACACCGCTGCAAAACCAAGTTCAGGTCTAGAAAACCATACCATAATCCACACCGCCATTAAATCTTTATCAGATAAATAATAAATGTTCACTTACATTTTGATTGCTGTGTCACAGTATAAATACAAGTTGTGTAATGTAAAATACAATCTAAATTTAATAATCAATCTAAAATTTAAGTAGTCCAACTGGACCCAATGGGGTCTATGCTGCGACGGTGGAAGTTTCATTAGATCTTACCTTTACATTGTAGACGAGTCTTGGAAATATGGTAGAAAGAATTGCCTGTTTTAAATCCCTAATTAAGGAGCAATTCTTATCAGATGAGCTTCTTTAAAAATATTGCTACGTAAGTAATACTGGCTGTTGCCTTATATTGTGAAATGTTTGAATGTTTGTGTATGCCTATATGTTTAGTTTGCATTTATTTTAATTTATTTTCAACTTACTATTTACACTACTTTTGTCTTCAACCCCCCCCACTATTGTTATCGTGCTTTATATATTTTTTTTCCCAGCTCATTGGCTTGTCTGGAGGAAAACGCTGATTAGCGATAAGACCGCCGTTTGTGCAACTGTAATTGTTTTGCCTTGTTGACTGTAGTGCAATAAAGTTTTATTATCTTATTATCTTAAAAGAAATGCAATGAAATTTTGAAAGCGGTCTTTGTGAAAAAAATTTAATCGAGGAGAGATATATTTTTTTAACGAGCAAGATTAAAAACTACTAGGACATTTTCAAAAAATATTTCACCGTTAGAATGCAACACTATACCTGAGTGACATAGGGTATAAATTTTATCACCTTACAATAAAATTCACCCATGCGAAGCCGGGACGGATCGCTAGTAATAAATAAATGGTTGACAGAACATGTCGCTTCTTAGTAGACTTGAGATGGCCAGAAGCTTCATTTGTTGATATTGTTAAACGTCAAACGTATTCAAACGGCATACAATGATTGCTTGCACAATGCACCTTTTCTGAGTAACGAACGAGCCTATACAACTCAGGGATTGTATCAGATGATTCTTGTTAGCTTTTGTTGCTACTCCGAGAAGGAAAACATAGTACAGGCAGATGCCACTGTTTGTTAATATCCAGGAATCCATACATAACGCGCCGCGACATGTCGGCTTTGGGGGAGACGGGGGGAGCTCCCCAAAACCCCCCATGGCCGGGGGGTGTCGTCATAGGAGGGCGGATGGGAGAGGTTGCAAACACTCCCCAAAGAAGGGCTCCCCTGGTGGCAGCAGGGGAGCAAAGGCTGCGGGTCCTCAGATGCGATACTCGATCCTGAGGCCCCGTACAATGCCTGATGGCGGCCATTGCTGGGGTTTTAGTGGGTAGGACTCCCCCTTCTGGGGAGGAGGGCCCCACATAACCACAATGTGGTATACAATTTCATGCTTTTCCCCAGCGTACAAAAAAAAAAGGAATCCATACTTAACTGTGATAAGCGATTCCGTAAGTTTTCATGTGTTAACTGCTGAAATGATATTAATATTGATTGATGTGGCATCATTAAGCGTATTCTAGCGACTATTATACCACGA